CCTGCCCCTCGGGACTCCTGACCATTGAGGGGCGCGCCGTTCTCCGGGGTGGGGCCGTCCTGGGCGCTGCAGGGCGCTGAGGCTGCATTCCTGGCCTCCACCCACTCCATGCCCAGAGCACACCCCAGGCGTGACAACCACAGCTGTCTCCAGACAGACACTGTCCAGGGTCCCCTGGGGCCGGGGGGCACGATCAACCCGAGTGGAGACCCTCTGTTCTAAACGCCGGCAGGTCCATCTCCACCCGGACCTCGCCCTGGGTTCGACGCCTATCCTAGCACCTCCTCTGCCTCTCCCCTCGGGGTCCCACGGGAGCCCCACTCTAACACGTCCGTGACCTCACTCCTGATCTGCCCCCACTCTGGCTCTTCACACCCTTGGCGGAGGCAGCTCTGTCCTCACTGCCTCTGACACCCTGTTTCTCCGAAAACCCTGGGGGCTCCACTCTCAGCACACTGCTCACCCCTCCACGGCTCCCACCCAGACTGGGGTCCAGTATTGAACCCAGCCTCCTTCCCCATCATCCTCCTGAACCAGCCCAGGCCCCTCCGCGGGTCCTCCCCGCACCACCCGTGGTCTGTTCTCCCTACAGCTGCCAGGGTAACCTGGTGCAGACCTCTCATGAGAAGGTGGGTCTGGCTGCTGAGGTCACACCCGCCAAGGCCTCCCCACGGGACTCCAGCACCACCAAAAACCCAAACTTGGATCCCATCGTGCCTTTAGGTCAGCAGCATCTGATGGATCTTTCTGGATGATGAAAACGCTGTGTCTGTGCTTGGCTGTGCAGTGTTTACACTGGAAGAGCTGCCGGGAACGGTCAGCTCACCCGACAGCATGGCATCTACGCTTTACTACCGTTTCACAGGGAATACCAGGGGCTGGGGAGCAGGCCAGGCACCCCCAGGGGACACCACTGGGCAGATCCAAAGGTTCAGAGACACTACAGGGCAGAAAACCCAATTTTGCCAATAAATTACAAGGGGAGGCTGGGCGCGGTGGCTCACACCTAATCCCAGCACTGTGGGAGGCTGAGGCAGGAGAATCGCTTGAACCTGGGAGGTGGAGCTTGCAGTGAGCTGAGATCGCACCACTACACTCCAGCTCTGGGCAAGACTGAGACTCCGTCTCAAAAAAAATAAATAAGACAATAGGACCAGGTGTGGTGGCTCACGCCTGTAATCCCAGCACTGTGGGAAGCTGAGGCAGGAGAATCGCTTGAACCTGGGAGGTGGAGCTTGCGGTGAGCTGAGATCGCGCCACTGCACTCCAGCTCTGGGCAAGACTGAGACTCCGTCTCAAAAAAAAAATAAATAAGACAGTAGGACCAGGTGTGGTGGCTCACGCCTGTAATCCCAACGCTTGGGAGGCTGAAGCAGGAGGATCACAAGGTCAGGAGCTTGAGACCAGCCTGGCCAACATGGTGAAACCATGTTTCCACTAAAAATACAAAAGCCAGGCATGGTGGCGGGCACCTGTAATCCTAGCTACTTGGGAGGTTGAGGCAGGAGAATCGCTTGAGCCCAGGAGGCAGAGGTTGCAGTGAGCTGAGGTCATGCCACTGCACTCCAGCCTGGGCGACAGAGCAAGATCTGTCTCAAAAAAAGAAAAGAAAAGAAAAATAGACTCAGTGTAGTGGCTCACGCCTATAATCCCAGCACTTTGGGAGGTCAAGGTGGGAGAATTGCTTGAGCCCTGACATTTAAGACCAGCCTGAACAACATAGGCAGACCCCCCATCTCTGTGGTTTTTGTTTTTGTTTTGAGACAGAGTCTCGCTCTGTCACCCAGGCTGGAGTGCAGTGGCATGATCTCAGCTCACTGCAAGCTCCGCCTCCTGGGTTCACACCATTCTCCTGCCTCAGCCTCCCCAGTAGCTGGGACTACAGGCGCCCGCTACCACGCCCGGCTGGTTTTTTGTATTTTTAGTAGAACAGGGTTTCACCGTGTTAGCCAGGATGGTCTCGATCTCCTGACCTCGTGATCTGCCCACCTCAGCTTCCCAAAGTGCTGGGATTACAGGCATGAGCCACCGCGTCCGGCTGTTTTTTGTTTTTTGAGACGGAGTCTTGCTCAGTCACCCAGGCTGGAGTGCAGTGGCGCCATCTTGACTCACCACAACCTCTGCCTCCTGGGTTCAAGTGATTCTCCTGCTTCAGCCTCCTGAGTAGGTGGGATTACAGGTGCCAGCCCCCATGCTCAGTCAATTCTTTGCATTTTTTAGTAAAGATGGGATTTCACCATGTTGGCTAGGCTGCTCTCGAACTCTTGACCTCAGGTGATCTACCTGCCTTGGTCTCCCAAAGTGCTGGGAGTACAGGCGTGAGCCACCGTGCCCGGCCATTTTTCTTTAAATAAATTAATTAATTGAATAAATGTCTCTTGGGACAGAGTTGGCCTAGTGGACATCCTCCATGCCCAGCTGACCACCCTTGTCCTATGCAGCCCAACCTGGGGCCCCCGCTAGCCCCCCGAGGCCATCCCCAGCCCCCCGAGGCCGCCCACCTTGGGGTCGTGGATCCCCGACAGCTCCTCGAAGGTCTTGTCCCCGACCATGACGGCAGCCAGGTTGGCCGTGTAGCTGGACAGCACCAGCAGGCAGAAGATGGCCCAGAGATTCATGAGCAGGCGGCCCGTGGGACACTTGGGCGTCTTGCTGGACACGGTGCGTCCGAAGAGGATGGCGTAGCAGAGGTTGAGGGCTGAGGAGTAGGAGAAGACGGTGCTGCGGTTGCGGCCACGCGGCGTGAGCCCGTAGGGGCTGCGCCACTCGTACAGGGTGAGGAAGAGTGCGGTGAGGTGCAGGGCCGCAAAGACGCCCAGCCACATGGACCAGTGCAGGGGCCACATGAAGGCACCGATGGGTGAGGCCGTGTCCCGTGCCCGCACCATGATGCCCAGGCTGGTGGAGAAGAAGGGGCTGGTGAAGTCCACCACCTGTGAGCGGGCGGAGTTGATGCTGAAGCTGGTGACTGCCATGTGGGCCCGGCCGGCCAGCAGGTCCCCGACCAGGCCGGTCCAGCGGCCGTCCCGCAGGGCGCCGTACTTGCCGTCACCCACGATGTACAGCTCAAAGTCGAAGGGCGTGTCCTCCGCCAGCCGCTCCAGCAGGTCAATGCAGTAGCCGTAGCAGCACTTGCGTAGGGCGCGGGGCACTGAGCCGTTGGCCAGCGCGGCGAACAGTGCGTCCAGGGTGGCGGAGTCGTTGGTGCTGGGGTCCAGGCACAGCTGCCCTGCGGGGCACTGCCC